TGGAGACAAAATATAGAGAGAATAGGAAATTAAAGATTTTAGTATTCAATAGTTTGCGTATGATAGTCTAAAATGATTTGCAAGTATAAATACTTCTATAAGTGATAAACATCCAGACAGTCACTCGAGCGAGCAAGCTACTGTACAAAGTCTGCAACTAAATGAGTAACTACCTTTCACTCTTTGGATTACATGAAAAACTATCCTATATACTTGTAATCAGCCTGTGTATGGGGAATGAAAATCTGACAGTAAAGAGGTAAAATGAAAGTGACTATGTTACAGATATGACAATGTTAAGATAGATATGTGGTCTAACAAGGATTAGGAATACATTAGAGAGAAAATTATGGTAGCTCGATTATAGAAAGAAAAATTGGCATGTGAATTCACTGGTGAGGAAAATTAATTAACCAGATGGCCAATGACAGAGCAGAGATCAAATATAAGTTGATGGATAGGGATTTACTTTATAGATGAATAATGGAAGCGAAAAATATAAGTCCGCAGCAAAGCTCCACAGTTAGAGAACAAGCTTCCCCAACTGCCTATAACCATAAAGGTGGGTGAGTACAAAACGCAAGATGATTACAACTAATTTCCACTCTGCTATTTACTGAGGGAATATCCTAACAGATTGCCACCTCACCTATCATACTTTCTTTGTGACTCCTTTCTTAATTCTCCTCTCATACATCCGAAACTTTGGGCCCAACACTCTCTTTGTTAACCAACACATCCCCTTCTTTACTAACAAGCCCATTCCTATCATCACTCCCCCCTTCAAACACAGCCTTGTCCTCAAGGCTAGGTCAGGAAATTGCCTCTTCAAAAACAGCAGTTCTTCCACCCATGTAGCATCCCCAATATCCATGTCTTCCCATTGCACCAACCATTCTCTGGTATGCATCCCAGCATCAAATTGATCCCTCCAAGACAGCAACTTGGCAGGAAACATATCCCCTTCATCTACTTCCAGACTTGCTGGCCGTTGACTAGGTGTGTAATACCAACTGCTTTCTTCAACTGTGACACATGGAAGGTAGGATGAGTTTTGGACGTTGGAGGTAGTTGTAGCTTGTAAGCAACCTGGCCTATCTTCTTTATGATCTGATAGGGCCCAGAGCTAGCTTTTGATGGATTCTTTGAACCACAGATGGCTGCCTATGAGGCCTTAGCTTGAGGAAGACCCAATCCTGCCTTAAACTTCACTGCTTTCCTTTTTTTTGTCAGCCTGAATCTTCATTTGTTCTTGTGAATTCTGCAAGTTGAACTTAAATTGTCGCAATGCTTTGTCTCTATCTCTTAATTCTTGAGCAACTGCTTCCAGCCGTGTCTTTCCCTCTAAGAAGTGTACCAGCACTGGTGATTTTTGTCATGCTTCAACCTGTGTCTTCCCTCTAGGAAATGTACCAGCACTGGTGGTTTTCAGCCATAGACCACCTCAAAAGGTGTAAAACCAGTAAAGACATGAAAAGAGGTATTTGTACCACTACTCTGCCAACAACTCTTTCTCATAAGCTGATTTGGAAAGCTTAGAGGAAGTAAAAGCCTTGCTAAAATATGCAGTGGGGTGCTTTAACTGCATCAACACAGCCCCAAGACCTTTACCGGACGCATCACATTAAATTTCAAAAGGAAAATTAAAATTTGGCAATGCCAAGGCAGGGGGCGGCGTAACTGGAATTTTCAGTCTCTGAAATGATTCATCAGCAGCCACATTCCACAGAAGACTCTCCTTTCTTGTCAACTCTATCAAAGGTTTTGCTATTTTCCCATAATTCGCAATGAACTTTCGGTAATATTCTGTCAAACCCAAGAAACCACGCACACCCTTCTACAGTTTTTGGGACTAGCCACAGCCACACACTAGCAACTTTGGTAGGATCAACAGTTACCCCTACTCGAGAGATAACATGGCCTCCCGTAGGTTCTCCCATGATAAATCCTTGTTGAATCACAACACAGATTAAACCAGTGAATAGTAAGGCCTTCCATGCTCAGCTAGGTCAACAAATATGGGAACATCCTCCAAAATTCGCTGCACCTCGAAATAGATCTTAGCGTGGTCAATCCACACCACCGGATCATCACCGGTAGTAAACGCTAGCAACCCCACCTTCGCCGATAAACGAAATTCATTCAACAATGAGGTAACTGTCGTCCCATTCGGCTGACGAGATGCACGACCCGCCACAGCATGTTGAATCTAAGCACGGATGAAATCACGTAAGTTTGCGAAGTTGGTTTCGACAGTTCCCAAACGATCCTCCAATGCAGTTACTTGATCAATCATATTTGGGGCGCAGGGCACAATGGCAGAGATCAAATATAAATGGATGAAAAGGGATTTATTGTATGGATGAATAATGGAATTGGAAAATACAAGTCTAGAGCAAAGCTCCACAGATAGAGAACAAGCTTCTCCTACTGCCTAACCATAAAAGTGAGTACAAAATGCACGATGATTATAACCAAGGGAATATCCTAACAGATTTGCACCTCAGCTATTTTTTTAATTCTCCTCTCATAAACACGCCAAACTTTGGGCCCAACACTCTATGTCAAGCAACACATCCCCTTCTTTTTAACAAGCCCATTCCTATCAGCCAATAATTCAATGGTTAGTGAACGGAAGACTAGCATAAACTATAAGTCCAACCAATAGCAGGGATTTAGAAGTAAGCAATATAATGTGAACCATTTAACAGGAGAACTATGACACCATCTGTCTGATAATGGGATGAGTTAGGGAATTATGGCGCCATCTAATTCTAACCCATATCCTCTTGTTGTTGTAATGATGATGCATTTGTGAAAAAACTAAGGTCTGCCAAAACAATGAGAGGTCATTTTCATTCAGTTCTGTAGGCAATAAAAACATATTGAACTTGTTAAGAAATGCCGTATTTTTGTTGGGCATGGATCAATTGAATTTCAAACCATGACTCAGAAAGTGCTACTCAACTTATCTGGTGCTAAAGCCTAGCTTGAAGCAAATCCAAAACCCTAAACATAATTCTATAAGAGGGAAAAAATCATAGAACTCTAGCTTGAAACTGGCTGAATGTCAATACAAACAAAACATGGGTTTGGGAAACATCCAAAAGTACTCTTTTACTACATTTACATTACAGGGAACTCCAACAAACGTGCCAGAACCTTTTCTCAACTTTCAAAACAGTGTATATTTAGAAAGATAAGCCCTAGCATGAACACAAACCTTCCCTTTGGACAAACTTCTTGTGCCTTGAAAATCAACCACAACATGAGCACATGTCAAAATTGTACCATCTTTGTTAATGATTGTTCCAGAACCAATACTCTTTCCTGCAGTAATACCAAAAAAATCTACAAAGCCAATACTCCCGGTCATCAGCATAATCTCAAAAGAGGCAAAAATTCAAACAACCCATTCAGATCAAAAAGGTAAAACAAAAACCTTGTGGAACTGAAATATTAACAACAGCAGGACCAACTTTAGCAGCAGCATTTGCAATAGTATCTTTGCCAAAACAATTACATGAACATGGCTTTGACCCCTCATGAACAACCCCAGAAGTTTCCTTAGATATGTCGGACGAAGGAACGGGACCGACTCTATAAGAAGACAGAGCAAGTATTCCTACAAATTCAGTTCCAATCATAACACGGACATCTAAACATACAATTGTTAACCTACAAAATTCAAAACAAAAGAAGAACAAACCATTTTGATCAAATGCTGGCAAATGCTGAGGTAGCAAATCAAACGGCGCTTCTAATGTCAACCATGGTGTATCTTGTAACGGCAATGGTAACCGCACATTTACAAACGTTCCTAGATTTGAAACCAAATTAGTGTAATTAAAATTTAAAATAGGATTTAATTTAATTGACATACATCATCACTATAAAGATATTATAAACTATAATCAATTATAATTGGTGAATCAAAAAGCATGTGTTTGGACGCAGTTTGGCGACTCTAATGTTGGTTCCCCATGAATTTCAGAAGTAACAAACTGTGCTTCTGCTTTGAAGTGACTTTTCAAATTAATTTGGTTGAGTCGAACAAGCACTAGTGATCGAATAGTAAATTTCAACTTAATAATAATTGCATTAGGAATAAAAGGTTAAACATCCCAAACTTCAAGTCATAATCAATTAAGGTGTCAAAATCATCCCAGCTTCAAGTTATAATCAATTAAGGAGCCAAAATGAGATTTTAATATAATTCAGTTCCAATTGTAAACGATAACAGAAAAAGGTTATATAACTAAACAAAAAGAGGATACATTACTCACCGAAATTGGTGTATTTATCTAAATAGCGTAGAGTAGAAGCAACGGCCACAACTCCCACCGCTCCAAGGACAGACTTTTTATTCATACGTGAAAGCTTACTCTGTCACACATATAATCCCCAAAATCAGAGATTATGCAAAAGTTTTATTCAACTATCAACAAAAATAAACGCAACATAACAAAATAACCATGAATACCAGGAAATAGCTCATGACAGCGCTTCCAGGGCCAAGACGTTACACTTCAATGAAAAAACAATCAAAACCAGTAGCACACTAAAATTTAGGGTTCAAACCCCTAAAACAATATAAACAAAGGACAATATTATGGGCTGATATCCAAGTAACAATGATAAGGCCCACCTCACGGCCCAATAAACATATAACAAACTGATTCATAAAACGAGATGTAGGGTTTGCAACAAAACGCGATTATGGGTATCAAACGTTCGTCCCAAATTACAGTAATGATCATATACATTTTTACAATGGGATTTTATTAGTGCAAAGCCTAAATGATCCATTGCAAATTGAAATAACTGAAAGCGCTTCAAAATAATTAGATAAACACAACCACTACATTTAACATTTAACCAACCACTACATTTATCCAACGAAATAATTAGATAAACACAGCAATTGTATTTGGAACCAAATTAGATCTAAAGTAAATAAAAAATATAACCCTAATTTAAAGAGTATACAAATTAAAAGTCTATTTCTTAGGAGATTTAGAAGCAGTAGATTTCTCAGCAGCAGAACTAGTTTTCTTCGGCAACAACACCGGGTTAATGTTAGGCAAAACTCCACCGTGAGCAATCGTAACACCTTGAAGCAATTTTCCTAATTCATCATCGTTTCTCACAGCAAGACACACGTGCCTAGGGTTAATCCTATTCTTCTTGTTATCTCTGGCAGCATTTCCAGCCAATTCAAGAACCTAGAAAAATTTCAAATCAAAACCAAATTAGACTACATTGAACGAAAAGAGTTTAGGAATTTATCAACATCGTTAATTTAAATACCTCGGCGGCGAGATATTCGAGAACGGCGGTGAGGTAGACCGGAGCACCGGTTCCCAAACGGAGTGAGTAGCGGCCTTTCTTCAAAAACCGAGCGACACGACCGACGGGGAATTGGAGACCTGCTTTGGTGGATTTGGAAACGGCTTTCTTCCTCTCGCCACCTTTTCTTCCGGCGGCGGGTTTGGTTGTGACGGTGGTGGTTTCCATTGTGGTGAGATCCGAAAATGGAGCAAAACGAATCGTTTGGAGGGAATGTAGAAAGCGAGAATGAGATTTTCTTTGAATTTGGGGGTGGTAGTGAGAATATGTTAAGGCGCGAGGGCTTAAATACCGAATGTAACTGCCAGATGTCGGTTATCGCGTTTGAATCTAAGGATAGATCGGACGGTGAGGATTGTGCACGTCGGCGATCTGTGGCTTTTTAAATTAGTGTGAGAGTATTTGGATCGTGGATTGGTGCATCGTACGGTGCATCTATGTGCCACGCTGGCAATCCGTGTGCTAGTTTCTGATCCAATGGTGTTATTTCTTTAGAAACTGACGGAAGTTACAAATGACGACAAATTGGTGGGATACGATTTTTTGATTTTTTATATAAATCAATCTCATGTATTCTACTTGAAACTCATTATCAATTTCTCAATTCTAATAGTTTTTGCAACCTCGATATTATTTTCATTAAGAGATTTTCTTTATTCCTCATTAGAATAACTATGTTCTGAGATAGTTTTTCTTGGTGAGTATTTTGAGGAAAGAGGTTCTACAAGTGATCGGTGCCATATTTTTTAAGATAAAATTGAGAGTTAAAGAAATAAACGGACCTTTTTGCAAGGACGATAGAAAGGCGAGCGAAGACAAGAAAATTAAAGGGTTGGAGACATGGGAGTTAGAGGTTTAGAAAGTTGAGTTTAATTTTGATGATTGCCTAGAATCTTTCCAAAAACATAAAGAATCGTTTATCTTTATACCAATAATGCAACCTTCTGATTGGAGAACCGTCTTTGATATCATGTACGATGTTAGCGACTACGATGTTGGCGTTGAGTAAAAATGATGTTAAATATATGTTGGTTTGTTGGATTTTGTTGTTTCATGAGTTTGATTTAGAAGTCGGAAATAAGAGATCGAGAATGTAGTGGTTACGAGTTATATATCTAGGTTGACTGACATAAGGAAAAAAAGTTGTCTCTGGATGATTATTTTCATGATGATAAGTTGTTTGAACTAATACAAATAGAAGTATCATGGTTCCTTGACTTTATTAACTACCTTGCAGTCTGAGTCCTACCTCTGAATATGAAAGTATCAAATAAAGACAAAATCAGATTTAAGGCACTATTTTTGGAACGAGCCTCGGCTTTTTAAGAGAGATGCAATTGAAATTTTCTAAAGATGTATCCATAAAGAGGAAATGGAAAGTGTCGTGACTCATTATCATGCTTTTGTTTATGGCAGACATGTCAGCGTATATAAAACCAATGTGAAAATACTTCAGACTAGTCTATATTGGCCAAGTCTATTTGAGGATGTGCACTCATTTATCAAAAAATGTGATCACTAAGATCGTTGACCTTGTGGATCAATTGGCTGGTGCTTGTGTGTTCAATAAGATTAACTTGAAAACAGCTTATCATCAGATTCGAGTAAATTCATAATATACTCTGAATATTGTGTTTAGGTCTCAACATGGTCATTATGAGTATTCAGTAATGTTATTCGATGTATCTAATATCCCATGTGTGTTTGTGGAATATATGAATGGGATATTCAATCCTTACTTGGATAAATTTGTTGTTGTGTGCATCGACAATATTTTGGTGTATTCTAAGTCACATGTAGAGCATGCAGGACATCTACGAGTTGTGCTAGAGGTTTTGCGAGAGAAGCAGTTGTATGCTAAATTATCCAAGTGTGAGTTTTGATAAAAGGAATTAAGTTTCCTCGATCATGGGATATCTACTGGTGGGATAATAGTTGATGCATCTAAGGTGAATGCAATGCTACAGTGAGAGACTCCTAAGTCAGTTACTGAGATCATAAGTTTTCTCGTTACTATAGAAGGTTTATCGAAGGTTTTTTGAAGTTGGTGTTGCCTTTGACTCGGTTGACTCAAAAAGGTCAAGCTTTTGTGTGGAGTGTTCAATGTGAAGAAAGTTTCCAAGAGCTAAAGAAGAAGTTGACGTCAGCGATAACTTTGATTTTTCCAGATGCGAAGGAATCTTTCATTGTGTATTGTGATGCTTCTAAGATGGACTTAGATGGTGTGCTTATGCAGAATGTCAGATTGTGGCTTATGCTTTGAGACAATTGAAGGTTCATGTAAGAAATTATCCTACCCATGTTTTAGAGTTGGCAATTGTGGTATTTTTACTTAAGGTGTGGAGGCATTATCTGTATGGTTCAAGGTTTGAGGTGTTTAGAGGTCATGAGATTTTAAGATATATGTTTGATCATAAAGAGTTTAATATGAGGTAAAGAATGTGGCTCGAGTTTCTAAAAGATTACAACTTCGAGTTAAGTTACCATTCGGATAAAGCTAATGTAATAGTATATGCATTGAGCAAGAAGTCTTTACATATGTCGGTATTGATGGTTAGAGAATTAGTTTTGATCGAGCAATTCAACGATCTTAGTTTGGTGTGCGAGGTAACGCCTCAAAGTGTGAAGTTGGTATGTTGAAGCTGATTAATAGTGTTCTTACAGAAATCAAATAAGGCCAGAAATTGGATTTGGAATTAATTGATCCCTTGGTATTGATTAATCAAGGTAAAGAAGTGGACTTCAGAGTTGGTGAGAATGGAATTATAATATTCTGAGACAGAGTTTGTGTATCAAATTTTCCCGAGCTTAAGAAGAGAATTATTGAGGAAGGTCACAGGAGTTGTTTGAGTATTCATCATGGAGCTACAAAAATGTATTAAGACCTTAAAAAGATGTTTTGATGGCCAGGTATGAAAAAGGAGATTGCATAGTTTGTGTATTCTTGTTTGACTTATTAGAAGTCGAAGATTGATCATCAGAAGTTGTCGATGTAACACCCTGAATATTATATTTACCATTAATTATGTCGTTGTGATTTATTTGATGCAATAGATGGTTTGATGGCATGTTATGGGATAATGTTAGATTAATAAGATAATTAGAATTATTAATAAATTAGATAATTAGAATTATTAATAAATTAGATAATTAGTTATAATTATTTAAATTTATTTTAATAATTAAATAAGGATAACATTTGGTGTAGATGTACTAAGGGCATAACGGTAATGTTGTGTGGAATAAGTGAGGGCGAGAGTGGAACAATCTAAAAAGGGTCCAAGGGGTAAGAAGGACATAAGGAAAAAGTGAGCTTGAGAGTGATATATTGTACGATCATATTTTTGGAGAGAATAGAAGACAATGAGGTGAAAAAGAGCTAGGGAAGGAAGACTTTGTTGTTGAAGCTAGAGAACCAACCATCAATCTAAGGTAAGGGTGATGTTCCAACTCTCTAAGGGCATTGTATAATGATGTGTATGTAGGAGTTTGATTTGTTTGTCACTATTGATAGAGGTTTAGGTTTGTTTGGGATTTTGTGATGAAATTGATGAATTAAAATGTGTAATTCATATGTTTTTATGCCCATAATGTGTATAACTTCGTGTTATTGTTGTCACTTGGTAATATGTTGGTTTTGGGGGAATTTAGGACTGTTATGATATGGATTTGTATGCAATTTGGGGTTGGACTGGTGCATAATTCGCAACATGTCGGGCGATCCACATGCAGTGTCGGGCGAAGTGATTTTGCATGGGCATCGCCAGGCGAGATAAGGGCGAAGGAAAAGGTGGAAAAGGGGTGCTCTTGGAAAACGTGTGGAAGGGGCGGCCTCGCCCACGCTTTGTCGGGCGAGCCTCGGGCGACAGACCCATTCGTCGAGCGAGCCTTAGGCGAGCAGACTGAGGCAACTTTATTTTGAAACTTTGCAAATTTGTATCCTGACTTGGGGCTCCATTTAACGCATTGTTTGAACCTACGGGAGGCTAAAAAGAGAAGATCAAGGAGACCTAACTCTTGCAAATCACATGTGACTGCAGCGAGGACCAAGGAGACCCCAAAGAAGATAAGATCATCATCAATAACAACATGTTTTTCCTATCACCCATATGTTAAATACATCTTTCGAGGCTCCCAACCAGCAAATTCCTAATCGGAGAAAAATTCAGTTTGATTCAATTCTAACTACCTATGCAGATTTGTTCCCTGTCCTAATGCAAAGGAATTTGGTTCAGACCTGATCTCCACTGAAGATTCCTGAGAAGATTTTGTGGTACTACAAAGCTAATTTGACTTGTGCCTTTCATCAGGATGCTCCTGGGCACGATTTGGAAGATTGTTTTGCTTTGAAGGTCGAAGTTCAGAGATTGGTCAGAAGTGGTATCTTGTCATTTAAAGATATTGGACTTGAGGTTCAAGTCAAGTGATTGACAAAGAATAAACATGATTGAAGGATACCTTGGAGTTTAAATAAGAGAGTCTTCTCAATTTAATTATCATTTTACTGATGTTTCATTTGTAATCTTTCTTGTTTATCATTGCACTGTTTACATGTAAAACTTATTTGCATTTGAATGATTATCTTAATACAATTAGTATGTTTGTCTTGAAGAAATCCATTTGTTTCACTCGTATTTGCTTCAATTTTAAAATTGCTTTTCGCATTATGATACCAACTTGTTACTCATTCTCTTGCCTAGGCAGAGATTGGAGAGATGATGATGAATTTAAAACGCAAAATTTCTGGATATATGCTTTTGGTTAAAACCTTGTTGACGATGTATAAACATTGTTTCAAATCCCCAAACACCAGAGATATAAGGGAGTGAAACCCTCATTAACCCCTTTGATCCTTGAAGTAGGAGTTTCTTTTTTGTTCAGAAAAAACCCCATGTTTAACCCGGGGCAGGGTAGTGTTCAATTAATCTGGTTGAGTATTCAAATCTCATCAAGAGTGCGCGTCCAAGGATACAACAATCTTTATCCTTCAAGAGGTTGAGAAAAGTCAAAATCGTAATGGTCAATATTCGCCTATCAGTAGTGTGCATCAAAACAAGATGATATCCCAATGGGTATCTGTTGTACCCCAAAATTTGCCCTCTCATTTTACTCAATACATGATAATTGAAATCCCCAAGTTGCTCAAGGAAGCCCAAGAGTTGACCAGA